TGTCTGCATCGCGTGCACTGTTAGAATCGTTCCGTCGGTGTACACGCTCAGTCTAAGGTCTGTCCGGTAAAATTCTGGTATTGCTGGACCCATCTGCAATGAGAAAACTAGAAAGAAGAATATTTTCAGCGTCTTCTTCACTGGCCAGCATCACACGAAGTAACCTGGGTTCTCCGATATGCGGTTATGTCGGTTGGCGCCAGAGACGTGTGAAGCTCACCGGTTTTGCTTCTACACCCATTCGGGCACATACCTCTGTCCAGCGACTCAGCTCGTCCTGTTGCCTCTCCCTCAATGATTGACTTGTGGGTTCTGGGAGATTTGTGCAAATTACCGTGAGTACAGTGTTGCCACCTANCGTTTAGGTGGCGGTACTTTGACTACAGGTACCGAAACTTCGACTGTTGGTTTCCTCGTTGCTATTGAAGAGGAAATGATGCGCGCTACCTCTTAATTTGTTTTGTTAAAGACACTTCTCAGACGTTTTGACTGCCTTGGGTTTGGACTTTCTGGAGTGATCTGGGAACTGAGGGTCTTTATCTTTTCTTCGAGAGAAGCAATTTGTACTTTTGCCCTGTCCTGCACGGCTGCTAGTAGGTTTTCAAATCTGTGTGATATCCGTTATGCATTTGAAAATGGGCAGGTCGGAGCATTCCCCACAAAACCAGAAATAGTTTGTCTTTGAGACTGAGCTCATTTCTGATGCTCAAGGAAAAATGTCTCGGTGGGTGAAACACTTTAGTCTTCTTCTCAATCACCCTGAAACTCAACTTCCGTATGCTTCCTCCTCGCCATCTTCGCTATACGAAGCTAACTGCTCTCCGCCATCAGTAGAAGAAGTCTCAGATGTTATCAACCATCTCAAGCCACGGAAACATTCCGCTGAGGACAGGATACCCGCCGAAATCTACGCAAAGTGTTCTCCGACCATTTATAACCCTCTCCATAGCTTACTGTGTGCAATCTGGGAAACCGAAATTTGCCTAACTAACTGAACCATACCTATTTTACTACCTTTCCCTAAATTGGATGACGAATCAGTGTGCGAAAACCACAGAGGCATCACTTTATTTAACGTGGCGGACAAGGTTTTTGCACAACTTTTGCTGAACCGCTTTGTTGCTAAAGGGCACGCGCGCAGAGGGATTTCTCCCCGGAGTGGTCTACGTTTACCAAATATTCACTTTACGTCGACTCTTGGAACATCGCCACAAGTTTCAACAACCCACAGCAATTTGCTTCATTGATTTTCGTGCGGTATTCGACTCCGTAGATCGCGAATCCCTCTGGAACATAGTTCTGGCCGATGGTGTTCCAATTAAACTTGTCAACTTAATGAGATCCTACTATCCCAACACTAGCACCCGAATCCGCATCTACGGCGAGGAGTCATGTGCGTTCGAGTTAGGATTTGGAGTGCGACAGGGATGCCCATTGTCCCCAATGCTATTAAACTTTGTCTTGGATTGGGTAATGGGTCGTTCGGTGGAAGGATACCAGGGATTTCAGATCTCTCCAAACTTATGGCTCACCGACTTAGGATTCGCTGATGATATTGTCGTCTGTGGCGAGGACATGTCCAACCTCCAAGTAATCGTTGATCTCATCAGTCGACAAGCCTCCGAGATCAGTCTAGAGGTGAACACATCAAAAACCAACACTTTTGCGACAGTCCCGGTTCATCCCGAAAGTACTTTAGTACTAAACGGCGAGCCGATCGAATCCGTCGAAAGCTTTAAATATTTGGGCTTAACCATTCTCCCCAACGGCCAAGCTAAAGCGGAGGTAAAGTAGCGCGTTGATGCTGTAAGAAAGGCGTTTTTACAGCTGAAGAATTCCCTTTGGCATAGAAATGAAATCAGCCTCAAGACAAAAATCCGAGTTTTCTCCGCAGCAGTCCGTTCTGTCTTGCTATACGGCTGCGAAACCTGGCCACCTAGAGTCGAAGACTCTCGCAGATTAGAAGTCTTTGATCACTAATGCTTAGGAATCATTCTGGGAGTACGATGAAGGGATCAGCTCTGAAATGAAGATGTCAGAAATCGGTATTTCAATCTTATATGGCTAGAGAAGCTAATACAACAGCGGTCAGGAAGCTGCTTTAGGTAGAAAATGCCAATCCAAATCATAGTTCGATGCAACCGATTCAATACGGCGAGATCAGGGCCTAAAAGCAGGAAATCCATAGCTTTCAGCAGATTTTCGAAACTTATTCGGAATGCTCAGCTAGCCGGAATGTGGATCTTACCTACGAGTGGTTTTGTTGCATCGGCATAAATCTCCGGAGATGGGTATAGCACCCGTCCCACATTGGCTTGTGCTGTACACTGCGACGAACAATCAAACCCCATCCCACTTAACCCACAATTCTTGTTTGTTTATGGAGCAATTCCACACGAACGGACAAAGCACCACTAACACTGGGTTTATCGATGGAACGCGATTCGTGAATTCAATTGAAGCTATAACGGATCCGATTGGAGTTCCAGTGCTTTGGCTTGAAGTTGAAAGGTTCATTCCTACTAACTTATCCAAAAGACAGCTGTCAAAACCGGCACACAAAAGTGCATAGTTAATGGTTGTTCAAACTGAACTGAACTGAAATTAGCTAGATGACAACGAATGCCTAATCTTCAAATTGTCGTTTGGCAAATTCGAGGTTTGTATGTCAAATGCCTAATGGTCAATAATCGAATGCCGAGTGAGTATCTATAGTGGCTCATAGTTTTAGACGGTCGAGGTCTTATTCTGTGCTGCATTCGGAGGGTTACCTCGGCGTTCGATCCATATTGGTAGAACCAATGAAGCATTTGATTCGGTGGATTAGTGGGGGTAAGTTCAAAAAACATTTGTTTTTCATAGGATGGCAACGGATCTGAGTTAAAAATTTTAATTTGTGAAACACGGAACTATAGTGATCCTCTCAGTGACTGATTCCTTTTTGAAAATACTCTCTAGTCATTTCACCCTTTTCTAAGGGTTTAGTTCAGTATCGGTTCGTTAATCTGGAGGGATGTCCATGTTCCGGTTATCTGTGATATTGTAATACTGTGATACTTATAATTCTATAAAATCCAAATAAAATTTGTCTAGGTCTTTATTTGAGACACTGAATCAAGTGCCTTGAAAGTAACAAGGTTCCTTTGAATGAAACCGTACTGGTCATTCCGAGACGGGTGCCTTACAGGACAGTACCATAAATACGGCACTTGAAATGTGGCTCCACGCCAGAGATCAGTTCAGGTGGCGGACCAGTTGTTTTGTCATCGGATGACTGCAACTGTCGTTATGAGTACACTTGGCACCATCTGAACTTCGACCATTCAAAATAGCATTGACTGTTCTTGGAGCCAATTATTATGGAGAATGAGGCTTACCAGTTCAACGTCACCTTAAACTGAGGAATAAGCGTATAGTTGTTGAGTGGGTTCAAAATGACCTGAATGCTGCCACGTGATGCGTCATCATTCATTTTACTACATAACCTCATAGAATCCTCTAAAGGTAGGCAAAACAATAGGCGTAAAAACCAACAATTAGCGAACTGGGAGTGCAATGGCAGTTCTAGGTTCGGACGATTACTAGCATAGCCAAATTTTATGGTGAGCAGTTCGTCGATCTGCCTAATGTTAGTGTGGAGGGCGGTTAGGAGGTGCGACGATGGAACCAAACAAGCACAAGGGCCGAGAGAGGGCGAAACCACAACTTGCGACCAATCACTGTGTTAGGGGTGCCAATGGTCAGCAGGTGAACTAACATTGTCATTGACCTTGACCTTTATTCATGTTATGATTGTCGCTCTTAACATGTGGTTTGGTGCGTGACGCATTCATTTGAACATACACGGATCTGACGATCAGACAGTCTTTGTTCTTCCTGTCGCTCTGGGCGATCCGGGAACGTAACACACTGGGCAATGAATAACAGATCAAACCAAAAGAGTGAAATTAAATCGAAGATCAGATACTCATCCTACACCGAATGAGGACAGTAGTAACAATCACCGTGGCACGTCCTGAGCTGGATCAGCAAACTAAACAGTAAAACTGCAGCTGAGAACGATGAGTAAATGTAACAAAGGGGCATTTGTATGTATACCTAATTGCTTGTAAGAAAGATGCATTGGTTCATCGAGAAATTATCATCGAAAGTTTTCTTTACGGTACTGATATTGACTTCAGATATACAAATATACAAACTACTAGGATTGCTTACTTTCTTGATGGAAACGTTTTGACTGACAGCTGTTGTTGTGAATACAGTTTTGATGTGTGCACCACTTGGACCATTAGGGATATAGTGGCTATGTTAAAGAACTGGGAAATGCATGTGATTACTCCAGTTTATATTGCAGCGTGTCAACTCCTGATTTTAATGTACATACATGTCATTTTTCACTTTTCACACCAATTATCCTAGCAGGACTGAATTATTTTGTTTTGAATAGATGCTTGTCCTCCGAGAACACCTTTATATGAACTTACCAGCCGAAGAAGTAAGTTATCTGAGCCCGACTCGATCGTGGCGAAACCGCGTTCAGTTTGCGAGATGGAGGCGACAACTGCGAAGGAGCATAAACCGCTGCCCTCCAATAAAAACAAGGGTAAAGGTTCTCAATACTCCTGGCTTGCATCCTTATCCATGCCTAACCTAATCGCTCCAGCAAGCAAAGAACCAAATCCACATGGAGATCTTGTAAGTCACAATTTCTACTTTTACATCGATCATTGAAATTCGATTCAACTGACCGCACTGAACTTGATGTGGCTCACTCAATCGTCCGTCAACTGAAATCGTTTCGTTTGATAAAATGAAAAATGAAATCAGTTTATTGATCTGTGGTATGTTAAGGATGTGAATCTGGCCCATTTATTGCACTTGGCAAACTGGCATTGTGCTCGTAGTACCAAAAGCTTTTTGACGCATTGGAAAGAACAAGGTGATAGAAGTGGAGATCGTTGGGAAACTATTTATTTAACACTGTCCTGTGAGCGATATGTATCAAAAATGTGAATTTTCACCAGAAGTCAGTGAGTATTACAAGGCGTATGCAGCTAATCTAAAAAACAAATATCGAGGACGATTAATTACTAAGATTTTGTTCGTTAACGGCATGCTAGTTGCATTTTGTGAGGTAATTGACTTTGTGTTCATGGCTTAGGCAAAAGTCAACGAACGTATATCGTCTCTGGGGTACTTATAGTTAAGAGACAATGTGAAAAGCACAATCTATCTTCACACAAATATCTTTACTATAAGAAGTTTAGATACTAACTTCCCACAGATCAAAATGGTAGGTCGGTTTCTCTCAAATATCCCGGAAAGTGGAAAAAATCAAGCAGTACTGTGCACTTCCTTCCATTTGCTCGTATCTTCCCCTAAAACGGTTTTTTCATTTTATTTGCCAACCAGGCTAATCCGGTACGAACGATTTCCTCGCCTGCTATTCAATCC